GGATGTCCCTGAGGGACGGTCTGAACTGTGAAACTTGTCCCTCTGGGAAAATAATGATCTTTACAGCCTGCGTCTCAGGCTGCAGACACACAGTCCTGGGGCTGGGGTTGGTCCAGCATTCAGGGTCTGTGTGCCTGGGTCAAACAGACCGGCTGCCCTGAACCAAAGGCTGCAATGCCTTTCTTGCAGAGCAAAACTCTTTGAAAGGTGTCGTTCTCATGCTCAACCAGGCAGGTGGAGAGCAGAACTGAAATCTCAGGACAGAAGTACCAAACTCCTTGTGGTCCTAGCGGATGGAGGGGTCGCTCACACGTGATGCTCCGAGCCTCAGCCAGATCGTGCTTCTCTTCAGCATCAGTCTGGGGCATCCAGAAGATGTGGCTGGGCTCTTCTTCTGTGTGCTTCTCCCATTCCCTTCACTCAAATCCTTCCAGATTAATCCCCCCAGCATGCGGGCTTAAACGGAGGCTGGATGCTGTTGTGTCCCGGGAATTGAGAAGCCTGACAAAGCAGCGTGAGCCAAGAGTAGCACAAGAAACATTTTGTCCCTATCGTGCTCAGCTTTGTACTCTGTGTGTGTGTGTGTTTATTTTTTAATAGAGAACAAAAGATTGATGGATGAAATTAAGAAGAGGGATGTGTAATTGGAAAACAGCTCAGGAAGGCTACAGGCAGCATATTGAAGGCATCCATCAAACATCCAGCTAATGTTGTTAAGGGTGCGTAACACAAACGAGGGCTGCAGGAGACACTAGTTAAAAAAGAAGAGGGAGGAGAAAGGGGAATAGGCAGGACAGGGGAAATAGCAAGGGAGGAGAAGAGCCCGCAAGAGAGAATACAATCAATAATATTTGTATTGCAAGTGCATCCAGAGGCTCCTGTTGGGATCAGTGCAGGACTGTACAAGCACATTAAGAGACAGTCCCTGCCCTCTACAGCTTAAACCCAGGAATTACGGGATGATTGCTGGAGATTGGTTTAGCCGATCACAAAATTTTTCTTGTGATCTTGGATCTCTTTTAATAGGATCTGCTCTGAATGGGTTTAAAGGCAGAAGGAGAGTAGCTGCTCGTGCCAAGAACAGGCGCAGTAATGCCTGCCAGCCAGGCATGCAATTAATCTGAGCCACTTAGGGGACTTTGTTTTTAATTATAAAATGTAGGTAAAAATATGTGCAGTAAACCTCTGCAAGCCCCACTGGGGCCATCAGCAAGCTACCCAGAGGCATTGACACGTGACTGGGTTTTGATGCTGTGTTTTCAAGAGGATGGGCTGATGCCTTAATGGACCACTTTGTGGGAAATATTTCATGCGGGGTGGACATTAAGAAAATGCTAAGGGTATTTGTATGGGGAAGGAGGGAGGATGAAGGCTAAAGCCATCGGTAGGGCAGGGCATTCCTGTAGTCCTGGAAACAGGGAATAAGAGAAACTCTTAAAGACTGAGAAAAGAAAGGTGAAAAAAATATAAAGGAACAGAGAAGAGCACAAGCGTGATGGATGCAGGGGGGCAGCGGTAGGGGAGAGAAGGTAAGGTTTTAAAGAGAAAACATCACATCCCAAGGCAGGTTTTCTGAAAACAGGATTAAAGTCAGACCCCTCTGTGAGGTTCACAAGTGACCCGGCGCTTTATGCGAGGCTTAACTTCTCCAGCACTGCACGCTGCAGAAAAGCAATAGCGAGGAGGTACACACAGAAATAAATGAGCAAAGAGCACACACAGGGGAGTTGCACGCACAGGCAGCATCTCCGCTTGTTTGCAGCATTCAGGAAGCATGAACAGGGCTGCCTGTGAGGAGGAGGAGAAAGAACTAGAAAGGGAATTTGTTCAGGCTCTGATCCCCGCTCCTCCGTGCTCTCTTGGTAACACAGCTGCCACCGCCGCCTCCTCGCCTTCCCTCCAGAAGCGACCCAAGTTTGCAGCAGTGACATGCCCACTGTGGGGAAGCCGTGCCTGTGTAATTAAGGCCTTTTATTAACGGGAAGAAACACTGGCTGCCTGACTCTAGCGCAGAGCCGTTTGGCATTGCAGGCATCTCAGGGGAAGCAAGGAGCTGCCATGCCCTCAAGCCAGAGCCTGGGTGGACGGACCTAGGTGTCTGCTGGCCTTACGAGGTAGTGCAGGAGCTCTGCTTTAGGGCCTGGGTTTCTCTGATGTCTCTGTCTCTCCTCATGGCCCCAGGTGACAGGAAGCTTTGCTGTGTGCTGCTGCTCTGGTAAAAGAGGGGATTTTCTTGGGGGGAGAGCAGCCCCATTGTGGGTAACACCATCCTGTAGCTCACCAGGCACCCGTGCCTTCAACACTGATGCTTCAAAGACCTCTTGTACCTGTCCTGGGCCCAGCCATCAGAAAGCAGCAAAATTAAGCAGAGACAGCATGTTTACTGCACAAGGCTTCACCAAACTCTTGTGCACCCCTAGCCATCCCGGTTCCTTGGCCCATTTCTTGGTCGGTTTTCCAAAGTGGAGGAAGAGCCACCATGGTGTGCCCTGCATGCAGGGTAAGGAGCATTCGGGATTGTCACCTTGAGTGGTTAGTTTGAGGAGACAGATTCTGTACTGTGATTGCTCTAGCTCAGTACTATTGGTGTCTAATAAGGAATAAGCTCATGTTGAGGCAGTTTCCTTACTGGGGCACGTGAGTATGGCTACCTGTATGTACTTGCCTGCCAGAAGACCTGCTGAGGCATACGAGGCTTCTGTCAGATTTAGCTGAAGTGGGTTTGATTTTTGGTGGTGGTAGAGCAGCGATGAGCCCTGTGACTGCATGATCCTTGCTTTAGCAGGGAGACCAAAGCAAAATATCAAAATATCAGGAAAAAAAAAAAAAGGGCCCAAGAAGACCCCAGAGGGTGAATTTGGAATAGCATCCCTTGATGTCTTCTGGGACTACCATGTGGCTGCTGTCACTCCCAGGCAGAGCCCTTTCAGACCAGTAGTCATGTTCTTTCATATACGAGTCTCTAAGGCTGAAGCAGGGCAATCCTTCCCCTTTGGACAGAAGAGGAGCTGCTGGGCCCAGATCCTGGGCAAGGAGAGTTTCCTTTGCATTTGGTGTGCCTGTGTCCCTTTGAAGAGCTTGGGTTTAGATGGCCAGCCCTCAGTACACCTTGGAAAGACATTGCAGGGCAGGAATTTAGAGCCATCCAGCTTGAACCCCCTTTCCTCCCTTTATATCAGTGTGATGCTGTAGTATTCTTCCCTCAAATTGGTTTCAGCCTAGAAGAGCGAGAGGGCCCAGAGGGGCTGTGCCATACAGTAGCTCTCCAGTTCCCAGGGGGTGGGACTGCAGTTTTCCAACAGAAATGTCTCTGCAGGAGGTTAATGGATGTTTTATGCTCCCTTTAGCCTCCCAGTGAGCATCTCTGTGGTAGGGAGGAAATCCACCAGGAGAAGTATTTGGCATCAAAAAGGAATCCCAGAGGAAGCAGATTACAGATGTTACCAGGAGGGAGAGGGGAATAAAATCCAGCAATAGCACGTCTCTCAAACATCAGGCATCCTGCTGTAGAGAGAGCAGAAAGTCCTTAGGTGGCAACAAGTAATTTTGCTTTGTGCTGTTCAGTGTTTCTGCAGTGTATTCCTCTTTCTAAACCACTGCTTTTTGTGTTGGTGTGTGGTAACAGTATTGGGAGATTTCATACAGATACAGGGACCAAAGCAGAAGCTGGAAGTTGGAGGAAAACTTGGAGGAAAATGTTCCTGACTGTGCCAGAGCCATACAGAAGGCACCATATGCACTAATATGCACTAGGCAAGCCCATTTAATGCTGGACTTCCCAAAGTCATCCCTGAGATCTCATGCCCATATGACCATACACGGTCTTTTCAAGGAGGTGAGCCAGGACTGGCATCTCATCACACCCTGTCTACACAGGGCTGAGTTATGTCCCCGAACAAGGAGTCTCCAGTAGACTTCCAAGTCCTTCAGTCTGTGTTGTTCAAACTAATCACTAATGTTGGGTGCTTTGTTGAAGGCATATCTACCTCAAGCAGCCAAGGGTCTCATTTCCAGGCAGACTGACTATTCTTAGTCATGTTGACTTAGTGGGAGCCCAACAATTGTGGACGATGAAGCACAGGACTAATGTAGCTTGGATCATTTGTAAATAAACAATCCCTTGTTGGTTATTCCTGATACTTTTGTCCTCAATTTCTCTTTATTTTCCTTTAGTTCCTCTCACCTTTTAGAAGGAGTTTCAAAAAATAACTATTTCCTGTTGTGATTTCTCAGATGTCTTAGTCATGTACATTAAAGAAATTCTAAGAAAGAAATTATTCTGTGATTTAGACTAAATTCTGCAGTGGCCAAAAACAGCAAACCAGGGGTAGGAAGGGATGTGGAATAATTAAACTTGCAGCAAGCATCACCAGCACTGTGGAATGACCGAGGCAAGGACTTTATTGGAAAACTTAGTGGGTGATAATGTGCATCACTGATCGCAACGATGAATCTGCAAAAGGAGAATGAATTAAAACTGCAGGGCTGAAAGAGATGCTGGGCATCTTGACATTTTCTGTTTTTCCTGCTTATGCAGGAACCCAAATCTTGCATGTAGTTTAAAAAAAAAAAATCTTCAAAACAAACTCAGGTCAGGAATGAATATTTCTCCTCTGAAAAGGGAGCAGGTAACAGTCCTCTTTGGGCTTGTATTCTGCAAGGTTTCTGACAAGATTCTGCCAACACGAAGTCAAGGTCAGTGGGTTCATTGCGGGGCAGTGGGAAGTTCTTCACAGCAACAAAAATAGATAAAAGCTTCTGCTCAATAGCACAGGAATTGGCCAGGGCAGCTGGATAATGGTTCAGGCCTGCAACGTTAATGGGTCTCCTTGTAAACTTACACTTAGACAAACGCTTGGCTGGATCGGGGCCCAACATTTATCATGCCTCCTGCCAAGCAAACCAAACTTAAGTCTATTAGTTTGGCCTGTAGACCTACCTGTCCCAGTGTTTTTTTGCCTGATAATTCAGAGGTCTTACTCTTTTCTCTGTTCTGAAAGGTAGAGAGATGCCTGGGCACTGGGAGCTCTCTGCAGCATGCTGAGGAGACGTAACCTTCTTACCACGCTCCTGATCGCCTTGCCATGGGCTCTTCTCCTAACCTTGTGGCACCAATACCCAACCACCCGCTACCTCAGCCTGCTGAGAAGTAAGTGCAAGAGCTCTGCTGTCACCGTGCTTGTGGCTGTGATGAGTGTGATGATTTCTCTTAGGAGTGTGCACCTTGGGCTGGCTTCAGGGAGAGGAGGCTGATGTGCTGAGCATTGACTCCAGAAATATAGCATCCCCTGGAGAGAAGGCAGCTCAGCAGTGGGTAGTTCTCTAATTTCTTTCTTCTTCTTCCTTCCTTTTGTCCCAGAAGAGACAGATGAGAACGCGACCTCGAAAGCTCTCCTCAACGGTACCTCTGCGCTGAGAGACGAAGGCCTCCCATCATGCGTTCGGCAGCAGCAGAGCATAAGGGCAACGCCTAAAGTCATCCAGAATTATGTCTACTCCCGGCCCCCTCCGTGGTCAGACACCCTGCCCACCATCTTCGTCATCACCCCCACCTACACGCGGCCGGTGCAGAAAGCTGAGCTGACCCGCCTGGCCAACACCTTCCTGCACGTGCAGAACCTGCACTGGGTGGTGGTGGAGGACTCGCCCCGGAGGACCAACCTGGTGTCCAACCTGCTGGAGAAGGCAGGCCTCAACTTCACCCACCTCAACGTGGAAACACCCAAGAGCCTGAAGCTGGGGCTGTCCTGGATCCCATCCCACACCCCGCGGGGGACACTGCAGAGGAACCTGGGGCTGCACTGGCTGAGGGACAGCTTCAGCAACACCGCGCCGCCAGAAGGGGTAGTGTATTTCGCCGACGATGATAACACTTACAGCCTGGAGCTGTTTGAAGAGGTAAGAGCCGGAAAATTACGTGGGACAGAAAAAAAAATAATGAATTTAGCCAGGTCTCCCGTGTGGACTGCAAGCATTAAATGGGAAACGAAGGCTGTGGCATGCTGCCTGGAGCCCTCCTCTCCCTGCACTCGGTGGCAGCTGGGTATAGGGCAGACACAAGCCTACAGCTATGCAACCCAGAAGCCGTTCTCTAAAGGGCTGAAAAAGCAAAAAGCACATCTGCTGCGGTGTGGGCTGCAGATGTCAATAGCCATTCACACAGCGTTACACCAACTACTGCCTCCTGGGTTCGTTTTCAGAGGGGTCAGAGAATACGTACCCCAGAATATACACCTCTTCTCAAAGATCTGATGATTTAAATAAGCACCGATGATAAACTTCTGGCAAAGCATGAATCAGTTCTCTTGGAGGGGTGTGATGAGTAGGGGATATTAGAAAAGCTGACTGACTTTCTAATCCACTTTTTCTCCTTTCCTGCCCTTCCGTACTCTGGGTTCCAGCCACCACAGCAGATCTGTGCCCCTGGGATCACAGAAGCTTGCCCAGACTTTGGCTGGAAACCTGGCTTTTGTGAGATGCCAAGTCTGTTGCAAACTCGCAGAAAATGATTATTCAGTAAACTCCCTTGTCACCAATTTAAGCCAAACTGTTACACACCAGTCAGAATACCACGTTATGCATCAGAACACATTTCCCGTTTTCAGCAATTTTTAGCTCTCTGTTAAGCTCATCCTTTCTTATTTCTTTCCAGGTCCTTTGTGGCAATTTCAGTAAAACCACACTCTTTTAGGAAGTAACCACAGATAGAAGAATAGGGGTGGGGGAAAGCTGCAGTAAGGGAGGACAAAGATCCATCAGTCTGGGAGGGAGGTGACTTGTATGAGGGTAAAGTTGGAGCGAGTGGAGTTGGTATGGAGGTGGAGTCCTCGTAGAAGTTGTATTTGTCATTTACAAAAAGTGATAAAAGTTCGGATGAGATCAGAAAGGCTTTCCCTCTTCTGAGGGACTGAACGTGGGCACTGAAAAGCAGCGAGTTGGGTATATAACGAAGGGAGTGCTCGAGCAGAGCCTGGTGGCTTTGCAGGCTGTAGCTCTTCAAACAGCAGCACAGGCAAAGGAGATAGATTTTGTGCTGCCTGGAGCTATGCGATTGTGTAGGAAGTCAACGGGGGAGGACAGGTGCCAAAGAAAACAGAGGATGGTGTGCTAATGGGCCGGGACAGGTATGGCAGGGTTGCTTTCTCACAGCACTGTTTCCTTCTGGCACACAGATGCGCTACACAAGGAGGGTGTCAGTCTGGCCGGTGGCTTTCGTCGGGGGGCTACGGTACGAATCCCCAAAAGTGAGCCCAGCAGGGAAGGTGGTGGGGTGGAAAACCGTCTTTGACCCTAACCGGCCCTTTGCTATTGACATGGCTGGATTCGCCATCAGCATCAAGCTGATCTTGGAGAAGCCTCAAGCCAGTTTCAAGCTGGAGGGAGTTAAAGGAGGCTACCAGGAAACCAGTCTGCTGAAGGATTTAGTGACTATGGACGGGCTGGAGCCCAAAGCAGCCAACTGCACAAAGGTGAGCATCACAAGAGACCTGGAAAGTACATCCCCTTTGCTAGATCCTGGCCGCTTTCGTGGCCTCCTGCCATGCCCCATCCATCTTCTACCGTGCCTGCTCTGTGCCAGCACACCTCAGCTCCGAACAGTGCCAAGGCAGGCGGGCAGAGCCTGCCAAATGCTTTACAGATGAGAAGCTCAGCGAGCGCTGAGGAACAGTTAGTGCTGTGCACACTAACTGTGCTAATAAAGAGCCTCAGCCATACAATTTGTGCCCAGATTACTTCCCTCAAACCCAGAAATGGCAGAGGGTTGAGTGGGGTGTCAGTCCAAAATGATCTCTCCTCCTCGTCACTGCTTCATGCTCCTCTAAATCCTCCACAGGCCCTGTCTGAAGTCCTTTAAACCACACACTTCCAACAGCTACAAGCCTTGGGTTGCTCAGGATCCTCCCCCCTGACGGATGCGCTGCTCTCGGCACTTGCTAGGCATCCAGAGCCCCTGAACTCTCTGTGGTTCCCTCTAGGTGTTGGTCTGGCACACGAGGACGGAGAGGCCGACTCTGGTTAACGAAGGCAAGCGTGGATTCACAGACCCCAGAGTAGAGGTGTAGGCAGAGAGCCAGCTCCCTGATGTGAGTACCCTTCTCTATCATTTGTGACAGCACAAATAGTCTGTATGTCTTTCTTTCCTTATTTTTACTATTATTTCCTCAAAGACTGCATACGCAATAGTCCCAGTAACTCCCCTATCATGTCACCGTTTGCACAAGATCCTCATCTTTACTCGCTGTCTGCATGCTGTACTCATTCACACCTCCTTGCAGTCCCCACAGAAGCTTTGCCTGCATGGAAGCAGAGAGAAAAATGGCAGAAGAATCTCATGGTTTCGCTCAGTAATGACAAGCCAAATTCCTTCCTCCCTGATTTCTGCCAGGTCCATACTCCCTTCAGTGGGGGAGCTGTTCAACAGCACGTGGAACAAGATCACTGTTGTGTAGATGATTTTTTTTCCCCAATTGCCCCTCCACCTCCACCTTCTGCTTTTGTCTTGTGTGAACAATCGTGGTGTGGGTGCTGCAGGGAAAGGTTGATGGGACACTCAGACTGTTTGAAAGCAGGAACCAGCAAAGGGCAACCTACACGGGCTCTCACAAAGCCTGAAGGACTCAGTACAAACATTACCAGAGCTAGGAATACGTCTGCTGCTGAGGAGAAATGCTGAAGGCACTGTGAGCTCCTGCATGGTCCACAGAGCAAAGTTAAGCAGGAGGAAGAGGGATTATGGCAACCACCATAGGCGAGGGCAGGAATGTATAAGAGTTCAGTGATATCTTCTTAGAAATAGAGAATGATGAACAGGTTTCAGAGGAGCCATGTCCTCCTCCGTCAGCTGCTATGCCCTTTGATCTCAGTGTCTGCCCTTGGCAGATTCCTAGCCCGAAATTCACAAAAAAAAAAATAAAAAAATAAAGGTATCCAACTCAGGAGTACCCAGCTCTTCCTGGAATGACTCATACTTGTGGCAGAATGCAGGATGCTGAATGATTTACTCCTGCTTTGGAAGATATTCTATGGTTGCTTTCAGTCCTGACCCCAATATTCAGCTCAGCTCTGCCAGGGGAAACAAAACTGACAGCTGTTATACAGGCAGTCATGAGCGTTTCAGCTTCTGCACTGATCTGGTATGAGCATTGCTTGTAGCTGCGTACAGCGTTTCCACATCATCCCGTCATCTCTGAGTGACAGCCATACAAAGCGCAAAGCAATCCCAGCACCTGCACATCCAGCAGCAGATGCAGACACAGGAGTCAGCTGCCTAAACGTAGGCACCTGGTACCACCACGGGGATCCTACCTGGCCCTCCTGTAGGGCACAAACCCCATCGTCTTTGCCAGCTTTTCATGAATATTTCAGATACCCTGGCAAATGTAAAATGATGCTAGACCTACGTGTAGGCAGCAGCACCTCTCTTAACCTGCACTTGTGTGCAATCTTCTAGTGGTAATGGGTTCATTTTACATACCCAGTTGTGCTGGGTCTGCGGCAGACTAAAGCTACAATTGCCTGAACTCAGCTCATAAATACTCAGACTCCAGCTACCTGGTATGGGGTATCACTTCTCTGCCTTCAAGCCAGGGTCTCTACTGGGCCAGCTCTGTAGATTTTGGGGAGCTTTTTCTACTTGCATTATTGATTTGATCCAAATCCTTTCTGCACTATCATCTGCCCTTTGGGGCAGCTGCTCTGACCCAAGTGTGCAGGTAGCATCCACCCCAGGAGGCACCTGCAAAGGCTTTGGGTGTGAATGTGCTGCCTTGAGAAGCTTAGTGGATTCAGCTGAGAGCACTCAAACCAAATCATCAGATTCCACACCCACACCCCCTCTAAAGTTTTAAATTGACATGTCTGCTGACAGCTATGTTGAGTTTTGGAGGTTCTTACTATTGAGCTTCAGAACCTTGACAGACATGCTCTAGATGAGACAACGCTGAGGGGAAAAAAGAAAAAAGAAAAAAAAAAAAAAAAGAGGTAAAATTTATCCCCTGAGGATGTTCTGTTCTTAGATACAATAGGGAGAGTATTTCTGTCTTCCCCTCCTGGGAACTCGTCCTTGTTAAGGATTAGATGAGGCCAGTCAAGTTCCAGACCTCCCAGAGACCTCTTTCCCCTTTAATGCCTGTGGACGTGAGCCAGGCAGACATTATTTGATGTGGGTTTTGGTGCTCTGCTAATCTCCAGTTAGCCCACTTAGAGGGCTTCTTGGCATGTGTGCCTGCTCTCTGGGTTGCCACAGAGGCAGCGTGATGGGACCTGCTGATCACATAAACTGCAAAGATCAGGCTTCAGTGGGTATTGCATGAATAGCAGTTATTTTATCCCAGCTGGAGTCCACTTTCTTCCTTGCCTACGTTCCCACCACTCCTGGCTGTGTCTAGATGAACCATGGCAGCGTTTATGAGTCTAGGGAAGAAAACTCCATTAGGGCAGATCTATCAAGGGGGGACAATAAGGCATGTGGCACAGTTTGCCTTTTCATAAGGCAACAAAATGAAAAAGAAGAGTTCAACATTTATTTTTCAAAAGTGCTTTTCTGCACTAAAAAATCTGCCTTTTTTCAGCCCTAAGAACCATTAGGGAGGATCTGAAATGTGTTGGGACTGAGGATCATGGGTGAGATCCAAAAACTCTCACAGCATGCATCCCTGCAGACTGCGTATTGAAACCGAAGTCCCTAGAAATGCAGACTCTGGCTTCTGAGAGCAGGAGGTGGGAATTAATTTCTCTCCGTATTTTTTCTTTGTTAAAGCCCTGAAAGCTATTGCTCAAGACTGGTGTTATAAAACCTACTTATTCGTACTGCAAACGTGTATTTACAGGCATCAGAACAAGAAGAACTTGGTTTAGCACAGGACTCCTGCTGCCTTGTGATATTTGGAAATAGGGAATTAGGGAAAGAAGTTCACCTGCATTTCAGAGCTTCCAGAGAGGGATCCTCAGATCTCAGAAACACTGGGGGGAAAAATCCTTCAAAAACTTTTGCTAATTCATAAATAAAACATCCCCGCTAGGACTCTGCAGTGCAGATAGAACAAGCGGCACCCCCGCCATATCTGCAGCCTGAAGGTGTAAGTAGCGTGGTTGAGAAAAAATGGTTGGTGATGCCTGCCTAGTGCTTACCTGCGCCAGGGGACAGCTCTCTTGGAAACGTCTTTCTTGCCCTGATCTACTGGATGTGGTGCTGAGACCTCTACCTTTTTCTAACCTCGCCTTGTGTTTGTTTTGACAGAGGCAGCGGGCAGCGATCGCTCCTGAAGTTTGTCAGCAACCACAGCAGCGGCACACGCTGCCTGCTCTGCCCAGCGCTCAGCTCCACCACCGGAGGATGATAAACGCCCCAAAACGCAGCCACGTCAATCAGCTCCCACTGCCCAAAAGGTGGTAATGAGCAGGGACAGAGCTGATGTGGTGCCCTGTGATCCTACAGCTCTTCACTTTTGACTTCGTGCTCTGGCTCCCATTCCCCATCTGGGAGAGGAGCACCTCCCTTCCCTCGTGGGCTTTGTGTTTTTAACCATTCATTAAACAGGAAATTTATTAGATGCGATCTCCATTCTCTGCTGTGCCAGCAAAGAAGCTGAAATCCAGGATGGGTGCAGGTGCCTCTGAAGATGTCTCGTGGCGCATTGTGAAATCTGAGCGTCAGTACAGCAGTTGTGAGCTGCGGTGTTTCAAGGACAGGAGTTGTCACAAAAGCACAAATGTGAATCTGTCACCCTGAGGTATGCTTGAGGAATTTAAAAGCAAAGCTAGCCTGAGAGAGGCCCTCCCTCTGAAGGATACACTCAGATCCGTGCACAGATCAGCCATCGGCACTGGGGAGGGAGCTGTGCTGAAGCACCTTGTTTTGGGTTTGGCAATTCAGAAAGGATCTGGTGCCTACACCTCAGCTGATAACTTGAACTGCCCTAACATACAGTTGTTTCAGAAAATGCTGTCCCAGTTCCCAGGCCTGGTGCCCTCTGGATAAAGTTCCTCTGGCAGGTACTGTACCTCAAAGGCCATCCATGTGGAGCATCCCTCTGCAAAGACCAGAAAGCAGGGGCAAAGATGGGTGGACCTGAAAGTTTTGTTCCTAGCCTGCGACCCTGCTGCAGCACCCTCAGTCACTTTGGTAGCCTCAAATCACATATACAAAGCTGCTTCCTAAACCTTCAGAGAGGAGGACACCTTTCTGGGGCGGAGGAGGGTGAGAGAAGTGCTTAGAGAAGAGGAACCCTGAGCTTGCGCTCATCTTCTGCGTGAATGTTGGGGAATGTGGGGAGACATCGTCAGGAAACGTATCTTGAGCACATAGATGACAAGTGAAGTAGCAAATGTGACAAGTTCTCCAGCTGAACTCTGAAAGGCACGTTTGGCCCTGTGAACAGAGAAATTTCCCTTAATGAAACAGGAAGACAGCCCGCGGGGAGGCAACCGACAAAGGAGCAGGTGGCAAATGAGGACCGAAGGAAGGATGCACTGGATTAAAAGCACAAGTGTTTGTACTGTGTGTGCGTGGGGAGAAGTATATCTCTGACTTTTCTAGGAAGGTTCCTTGAATTGACCCAGAAACCCCTCTGAGCACATCCTGAAAACCATCTCCACTCAGGCCATAAGAAACAAGGCTTGGGGCATTCAAACCGCATCAAGGATCGCATAGCTGGGGGGGAAATTATGAGCAATCAAACCACCCCCTGCCCAAGAAATTCTGGGCTGGCAGGAGACATTTATTTGTTGATTTATTTATACTGCAATTCTCTGCCTATTCCTTGTTCGGTTTTGTTTTTTAACTTAGATCATCTGACATGTTCGTGAAGAAAGAACATTTCCCCTCTCGCCCCAGACTCTCACAGAAGAACAGTAGAGCTTGGCATTCACTTCTGAATGTCATATGTTTCTTGCTCTCCGGGGTTTCTTTACAATGGTGTCTTAAACTGGCAAAATAATCAGAAACACAGCAAGGAGGAGAGTACAGCAAAGGGAACTGTGGTTCCTTTATGCAAGAGACGTGGGTGGCACTAAGCTTCTGGCTCCCAAGCAATCATAGCGAGGTAAAAAACATGTGCAAAGGACGGCCTCGCTCAGCGGATAGTCCCCATGGGATCTTGGGAAGCATCCATGAAGCTTTTTGAAGGGTATCTGAGAGAGTTGGTCTGTGTTCCCTCACTGGGGAGCTAGCACCCAGGCATCTTGCTGTGGGACTGGGGTTAAAGTACAGGAAGGAGCAAAAGGAGTGAGATGAAGCCTAGTGGGGAGGAAGGCATGAGAAAGCAAAGAATAGGCAGCAAACAGAGAGAGAGAGAGAGAGGGGCTGTGTTTAGTGTGACAAGGCCACCCTGCTAGCATCTCAGCACCAAAGGGATACGGAATGGGCTATGAGCACTGTGTTGCCTCGAGATCCTAGAAAAGTCCTTACAGAGCAAGGGTCTCTGGCATATTGGAAGTGGATGGTGTGAAGGAAGCCTGGCTTCTGCAAAACACTTTTCTTTCTCCAAATGTCAGAGCTTTGTAACCAGGCCTTGCTCAGAGCTTTATGTCCCAGCCTCTGTATGAGGTAACGAGGCCTTGCACTCCAGCGGGCTTTACTGACCCGTCCCCGCCATCAGGCAGGCGGGCCCAGTGATTCCACACACCATTAAAACAAGATTACATCCTTATCTTTGTGGGTTTAGTGCACGAGCAGAGAGCAAGGGAGTAAAGGAGTTGATTTATGAGCTTCCATTTTCCCCTCCAAGATGGGCAGGGTTTCTGCCCGTATGAAAAGGAGGAGATATGGTGATTAATTCTCCGGCCTTTAATCTCATGCGGGGCCTACACAGGATTTTGGCACTGCCAGTGGATGTTTGCAGCGAGGGTCTGCTCCTGTTGCAAAGCACACATGTTTTTAGAAATGACTTCTTGCTCTGTCCCCATAAGAAAGCAAAATTATTGTTCTTATTTTTCCCACTGGGACCCTGGATTGCAGTGATATGGTACGCTCAGTGCCAGTCTGAGACTGTCCCTTTCATGCCATTTCCACTCTTGCCTCAGCCTGACCCTGTGGAGAAAGGAACCGGTGAACCAAGAAATTCTGCCAGACACTAAATTGTTCAGGGCCAAGACTTTGTGTGGATGTGCACAACTGTTACCCCAGGCTAGCAGACGTTTCAACCAGTTCAGCACAAATATTCCTTTCCCTGTAGAGCAGACTAAGGACAGCACAGGCTGCTGCCAGCCTGGGTGCATCAGCTAAGGGTAGGTCAGCAGGAGACACCACCAGCTCTGATGTTAGTTTTGTTAGCAGAGCGTGGTGGGAGAGCCCAGGTATGGAGCAGCAGTGAGAGTTACAGGCTTCAGGGAAAGTGAATGAGGGGTGCAATAAAGCTGCAGATCAAGCCCGAAGTGCTTCGAGGAGGCATCCCAGCGCCTGTTTTTTACTAGCATCTTAGTATCTGATACTCATGTTCTCTGAAATTCATCCAATTCACCAACCGATGAATATTACTAACATTTCCTGTTGCAGAAAATGCTATTGACAGAGGAAAGAGAATGTCAAGGAAGTAATTTTTAATGGTTATTTATTTATATTGAATGGTACTAGCGCGTTATTAAATATGATGTGAATAGTACAATATTACACCGTTGTCTGTCTTGTAGCACGAGGGCTTACTTCTTTTCCAGGAAAACAGAGTGGACGCTCCTGGAAAATGTATTGGTTTAGTTGTTCTCATTCCAAGGGTACTCCCTTTGGTCTTCATCTGACCCAGATGCTATGAGAGAACTTCAAGCAAAACATTTCAGGTCCCTGAAACTGATGTCTGCATTTTGGAGGTGAAGGAAAGAGACAGAAGGGAACGGGGGTATGTAGTGTAAGCTCCATAGCCCCACAGCATCTCTAGCAGCAAGCTGTTGGTTGGGTGACATTTCAGGTGTCAGCAAACATTGATCCAAGGTCATGCACCCATTTGGCCTCTCTGCTCTGTGAAAAGCCTCTCCCAAACGGTTCCAGAGGCCATGAAACCTCCCAAAACAGGTTTTTCAACTTCTTCCTTTTTCCTGGAAGGAGAAGCAGTTGTTTAGGACAGGAAGAGATAGGAAGCAGGCATGGGCAAGCAGGTTGCTCTCACTGATTTACTCTGTCATTTGGCCAAGGCACCTCACATCAGCTATCTGTAACTGATGCTTTTTTGTGTTTTTTTATTACAACAAAGGACCTGCCTCTCAGAAACACAGAAACACTTTTAAGGATATTCTGAAGAAGCATCACTAAAAATTTAGCATATTGGAGTACAAGCAAAATCCGTAGCTGCTTATATAATAAAAAAGCCTGTTCACACAGGTTTTGCTTAAAGTGCAACATGGCGTGTACAAGCAAAACATCCTGTGAAAAGCTGAGAAAGAACTGTGGTGGCCAAAGGCCTCTGAAATGTCCACCCTACTAGAAAAATCTGCCACCTCCCCCCCACAACAGAGGGACAGCTCTGCTTGTCAGTGGTGACTGAAAGCCTCTGCAGTGCCTTCACAAGGATTAATGCTGCTTTCCTTGATAGAAACCCTGGGGATGGTTTGGTATCACTCTGTCACACCAGTACATGCTCTTCCCCTTCTTGAGCCCTGCATTTTCAAGGCTAAGCTTCCCAGTCACGCGGTTGCATTTTAAGCCAGGAACTGGTGCAGGTCCCTGGAGTTAAGGAAGGGAGAAGGAGGAGAAAGAGCAAGAAAGAATGAATCTTGTTAAATGGTGAGGTACTTCTCTCAGTCCCTCATCACATTCAGGACTGATTGGAGGTGGATTTACACTTGGAGGGAGGGAGGGAGGGAGGGGAAGCTCCTTCCCCTGGGACATCCAGAGGCTCTTGCACAAACTTAATTTCAAGCTCTATTGAAGATGGTGTTTGTCTTTTTTTATTTTCCTATGCATTCGTTTAATTTCTCAAGCAGACGTGAAAATGAGAAAGGCAGACCTTTGACTGCCAAGACAGCCCTGTTCCTGCACCTTACAGATCCAGTCTCACATTGTTTTCCTCCATCACTGCCCTCAATACATCTGTGCACAGGGGTTGCTAAAATGCTTGCCAGCTCCCTTTCATGCTTCAGTGGAGACAGGTTGGATTGTTGGTGGTTTGTTTTTTGTTTTTTTTTTTTTTTTCATTTAAGCAATCCAATTCATTTTTAATTCAAATCCCTCCCGGCATTCTACGGCAGGGAAAAAAAAATAGGAGTGCAGTGACCTTGAAAAGGCGTGGGCTTGCTGGCACCACTGAGTTCTGATCTGCATTCAGCTCTCCGGTCCACGCTTGCTCTTTTGTGAGAAAAAAAAAGGCTTCTGGTGGTTTCTGATCCACCCATTTTGGTGACAATGGGAGACGGAATGAGAAGGATCATGATTCTTGCATTTGGTTTTGGAAGAATCTTGAAGGAAATGTTCCTGGAGCTTCAGCTCTCCCAGCCAGCACAGAAACACGTGTTGTTTGGCTCCCTCTGTGCACAGCTGATGTGGCTAGTTACATGTTAGTTTCCCATGAAACTAGCATGTATTTGTGCACAGGCTGAACTGAAGTTTGGCACAGGCTGTTGGCTTTCCAGCTGACCTTGTTGTGCCCCAGAACAGGCACAAGGTGACAATTTTTACAACACCTGACTGCCATAAGTTAGCAGAGCTGCTGATGCAGATCAGCTCTAGTTTGTCTGGCTTCTCCCTGCCTCAGAAATGGATGCAGACAGACAAGCCTTGCCCAAATTCTTCCTACACCATTATTTCCCACTGTGATCCAAGTTTAAATTCGGGTAGTACCAGCTCCTAAAACAATTAATGCTGTCAAAAAAACCATGTCAGCACTGAAATATTGGTTCCTATGCGTGTTTTAGACACAGAGGTTCCCCTGTGATGGACGCAGAGATTAATTCTTTCCCATCCACGGCTTTGTACTCACTGCAGCTTTCAGAAGAGCAGAGGGCATCACTTTGTTTTATGAACATGAAGACAAGCAGGGTGTGTTTGCCATGGTAATGGAGAGAACGCCGCAGGAAGAACGCAAATGGTAGAGCTTCAAAGCAGTGTGCAAGAAAAGCAGACTTTGCTGCAGGATTGGGTAGGTTTCAATAAAAACAGACTTAGTCCCAGCAAAAGAAGTGTTAAATACATTTATTCTTAACAACAACAAAACCACAACAAATTATTTTAAATTAAATGTGAGATGGCAATAGTTTACACCCAGGCCTCATGTAATAACAGGTTGTTCTGTCCAGCAAAATAAATGAGATCAAGTCTCTTATAGATGTGTCCCCCGACATCCCTTCATCCAGCTCTGAAGCAGGAGTACTCCCAACACACACGGTACCACCTCTAGCCCCATCTTTTTCCCGTGCAACCTCCTGTTGGTAGCTGCTTTGCCTGGTTTGGAGCCATGCATACTGACTGATGAGCCAGCACATGGGACAGCTTTGTCTTGGAATAGGATGGGAGGCTGAGCTGAGGAGGCCTACCCCTTCTTGCAGAGGAAAAATTTGTTTTTTACTACTTTCCCCAGTGCAAACCCAGCCACTGCCTTTTCCTAGATGGCTTCTTACAGAAGACGTCTTTTTCTCTGTCAAAATTAAGTGAAAATGGACAGCACGTTAAATCCATTATTAGAGAAGGCAGAAAGACTGACAGCACAATCACACATGCCCCATTTCATTAAGAAAACTAACAGAAAAGACGGGTGTAAAAGCCAAAGTTTTTATAGGCAGCGAGGCAACAAAAGAAGGTTCCTTGCTGTGGCGTCTACGCAAGTGAAACACTTCTGTAGTCTCCTGAGATGCAGGTAGAGAGTGGTGCATTTATTTCAGTTGATCAAATCTTGCTCGATTCAGTCATTTAAAGGCAGGACAGTGACTGTGCTGGAAGTGCAGAAGAGCTTTCCCTGTCCCCACCTGTGAGGGAAACTCGGCCATGTCAGGCGTGCCTTCGATCTCTTCCAAAAATCCTGAAAAACACCATTGCCGAAAACAGTTACTTCAACTCCCCATATGCATGCACTGCAGACACCGTCACCTTTCCCTAATAAATCAATATGATTTAAAAAATATATATTTTTTATAAATAGCAGCCACCAGGCTGACTGCTCCAAGGAAGACTTAACGGATGAAAACCAATATTACAGCACTCGTTTTCAGCATTTTCATGGAATTTTAATTTCTACCCAAAAGCTGCTCGACAGGAATCATGCATAAAGTACCTTGTAAATAAAAAATAAAATAAAAAATAAATAAAAAAATAAAAAGGAAAAAATGAAAAAATAAAAATGTAAAAATGAAAAAAATGAAAAAATGAAAAAATGAAAAATAAAAAATAAAAAAAATAAAAATGAAAAAAAAAAAATAACAGAGTTAAAAAATAAAAAATAATAATAAAGAAATTATTTTTGACAGCCCGACACAGCAGCGGGTCCCTACCCGCCCCACAGCACCGTTACCCCTCAGGGCCGCACGGCCGCCCGGTGGGGACTACAACTCCCAGTATGCCTCGCGGCGGCGAAGCGCAGCCGGGCACGGCCCTTTCCCGCGCTGCATGCTGGGAGCTGTAGTTTCACGGGAAGGGCGGGGGCACATTAAATGGCGGCCGCCCCCTCCTTCGCTTGCTCAGAACGGCCGCTGTGGGCTCGGAGCGGGGCTGTGGGGGGCCGCGGGCGGCCGCTCCTCTCCTGGTGGTGTCGGCAGCGGGGAGGGGTGGCACCGGCCGTGAGGCAGAGCCTCGGGAGGTGCCGGTGTGAAGGAGTTTGAGAGCCATGTCCCTGCCTCGCGTCGAAAACCCCTGGTTTCTGCTCTTCCTCCTCGCCTTCCAGACGATCTTCATCCTCATCGCGTACCAAGGCAACCTGGCCGGGGTGTTCCGCGGGCTGTCGGGCTCGCCTCAGGTGCCGGATTTCTCCAAGCCCCACGATGTGTACACCAACCTCAGCCTGCTCGCCCGCCGCCCCACCGAGGATGCTCTGCCCTACTGCTCGGCCCGCTCGCCGCTGCTGGGTACGTACCGCCTGCTGCTGCTGCCGCCGCTCAAGTGCATGTTTTTTCCAGCTTTTCTGCTTTAAAAGTGGTATTCTTCCACTGGCAGAGCCTCAAGGTGTTAATTGACTCATTTTCATTGGTTTCGTGAGGTAAAGTGTGTCAGTGAGCTGCAAACTTTCCATGCGAAGGGTTTGGTTAGATGTTGTGTAGGGAAACGAGTGAAACCAAAGCACAGCGTTAATCCCAAGCTAATAAAGCTCTTTTCTTCTTGTTTTGCACCCCCCCAGCTTGGTCATCCTACACAAAGTGTGCCCACAGTTGTGCTTTGGGATTTGGATCTCCCTGCTCGCTGACTCACTCCTGGTTTCTTTATTTCAGCCTTATGTCAAGCCTGTAATTCAATATCCATTGACGTTAAGTATTCTAAATATTTAAAGAGAGCGTGTCTTGGCACCTTGCTCTTAGTGACGATTGCTTTGGCCTGTGACTATGTGCCATCTAGACCCAAAAACTCCTCCATTAAGCTCAGAAGTCCAGAGATTGCATCCAACTTGCAGCAGGTCAGAGCTGGTCCTAGAGGCAGCGTGAACTCAGCTCTTGCACTGCTAAAAGAGCTCAGAAACTTTGAGCGGATGCAAAGTCCAAGCC